GCGGTGCACTGGACTCCCCATCTGCCTGGCGACGCGCAGCATCCTGGGCGGCCGATCCTTCATTCTTTGACCATTTCTTGACGCAACTCAAATGGAAAACAGTCCAGCACAACCCGCACGACCAGACCCGCGACCTTCGGCCCAGCTCGCTTGTACAAATCGGACATTCATAGAGATTGTGCGCGATGTCTTCGTGTATCCGGGTGGCGATATCAGGTGCTGTAGATTTCGTCGTGACTTTCGGCGGGCGAGGCTGAACGTTCTTCGACTTGCCCTTTCCGGTCGTAGAATCTGCTGAGGATGTGAGTCCGGTAGGTACGGCCCCATTCGTTGGCGCTCCGGGGACAAATTCAGGCGCATCAGCTCTCAAGCTCAAGTCCCCCGTATCATCTGGTTGGTCCTCGTCAGACGCCCGCTCGGGTTTCGACAATCGTCCTTCAAATGTCCGTCCTCCCAGCCCACCGTTCACAACATTTGAACCTTCACCTCGTCCTCGTCCACGTCGTCGACCGTTGTCCTGGAATGCGCCTACCCCTCGCCCACCCCGTTTGCCTCCCCTCGATCCTCTTGCGGCCCGTACCGATTCGTTCTGCTGTACATTCAACGACGAAGCTTCATTTGCTGGTACTTGAGGCGTTTCCTGAGCTTCAGGTTGTGTGTTGGGAGCTGTCTGGATAGATCGAAGAGAGCCACGACCGCCACGGCCTCTGCCTCGTCGTCTGGCAGCCTTCGGAGGCGGGGTGTTATTATCAGCGGTGGCCACAGGCGAACCCGACATGTTGTCGACGGCCCTGGAGGGTTCAGGCGAAGCTGTCTGAGGTATCCCCATGCACTAGTAGTCTATTATAAGGCGATTGGAGAAATGGAAACAGAGCAAGATCACTTCGCTCAAAGATCAATCTGTCGCGAAGCTCAGGTGCCACCTGATAAAAGAAAAGCGGAGGCAACAGTGCAGGCCGCGCTGAAGGGAACACGATGGTGTAAAAGGTAAATAGAAACCAAGTCAGTCTGGAGGCAAGCACAGAAAGTAAAGATTACTTTTTAAAGCACAACGAGGGAAAGGAAGGGGATGGAATTTGGAAGTGTTCCCGAACAATCGCCGTAATCATTTTTTGATTATACAGATACTGCTGGGTGGCGGCAAAGCTGCTGCTGTGGTTCCGCGGCGGGTTACTCCAACAGACACGAACTATTATTATCAAATATGGATCTGATTTGATGGAATAAATGAGTCAGCCAGTCGTAAAGCTCCAATTAAAGACCCGTTCTATTTTCAAAAACTATCAGGTCGTTCATGAATTGTTATTGGAGAATTTTGGGCCAAGTCCTCGCTATCACAGTGAATGTAGCATACTGGCGAGTCATCGCCATCACAATGAGTCACACAGAGTCATCAACTCCTACACAAGTTGCATTACAGAGTCTGTCAGGGTTCTAAATGGATGAATTTGATTGAATTAGCCCTACAATATAAGCCAAGCGCTATGCATAATAATTCACGTGAAAAAATCGACAGAAAGTCGAAAAAGGCCTCACACCATGCGAAGCAGCAACATGTAACCCTTAGGAAGCAAATCCAACAATCAAGTTTCAGAAGAAGAGAACGATCTCTCCTCGCTCGTTCTGCTTTACTCTCAATGTGCGCCACAGGTCCTTCTCATCCTCAATTCTCCGTTCGCGATCTGCACGGCTCCGCCCCTGACCGCGGCCACGATCGTCATCGAATTCATCAGTAAACTCGCGATGAAAGCGCTTCAATATCTTGTTTACAGAGAAGCCTCGTGTGCTCTCTGGCCCCTTTGTCACCAGAGAAAGAAAATGGGCAGCCATTTGTCGTTGTAACTCGTTGGGAATATTCTCCTGCCGATAAACAACCACCTCGCGGCCGTCGTCGCCTTGTTGGGAGCCGTTGTATTCGATCTGCTTTAGCCGCTGGGAGGGCCGGTCCCCTCCTGCTTGAGCGCTGACTTTTCGTTTCGTCTTCCGGGAATCAGACGGCATTTGGTCATGGGATGGACTGGCCACGCGGTGAGATTTCTTCGATCGGCGAGCTTCCGGCTCCTGGCTGTTGTTGCTGCTTCCCGATACGGCAGAGCCTCCAAACATGGATGACACAAGACGTCCCGCCTTTTGCTTCATAGAAATACCCAGACCCGCATCGTTGTCACCATCCTTATGATCGCGGCGGGTCCGCTTGATTGGGGAGGAGGGGTCCTGGTACCGTCGACGTGAATCCTCCTTGGACTCGTTCCCATCTTCAGTGGATGGAGACCGCATCATACGATTCAAACCACCAGTGAGACCTGAGTGTTTCAGCATCGGCGTACCCGGGTTATTGACAACACTTGATGGGGCCTCAGTCATCGGAGAGTCAACGTCCATATCATGATCATCGGTACGGCGCTTGCGTTTCTTGTCGCTGGTTGTAGCACTGGCTTTGTCGTTCTCTCCACGCGCACGATCCTTCTTCTTTTTGGGCGCCGGAGTCATGAACTCCATGGAAACGTTGGGAGCTTTGCCTGGGTACACCGATGGCTGAATTGGACCAGCACCATATGAGAAGCCGTTCTCCTCATATGCCACATCGTAGTCCTTCTTTTCGTCATCATTATCCGTTTCGACGTGGGCTAATGCCTTGCTCGGCTCAAAGACAGATGGAGCATGGTCAACCATTCGCATTTGCTCCTTGGTTCCGCCAAGCGAGACTTTCGATGCATTGGGGGTATCTCCCGTCACGAGATAGTCAAAAACGTTAACCGACTTCGAATCATCAGCGGTAGTGGCAGAGGGCTTCTCAGTGCTCGTAGGTGGTGGACTAGGAGCAGGCGGGGGGGCGTTGCCTTTTGAACTATCGCTATCGGGCCCATCTTCGACGTACGGAGCGCGATGTTTACCATTGGCGTTGTTTTTCTGGTTCTGGTTCTGGTTTTGGTTTTGGTTTTGATTTCTCCGCTGGTTTTTCGTCGGCTTCTCCTTGTACAATGCGCCCTGGTACTTTTGGGCCTCCGACATGCATGACTAGATGAAACACACAGTCAGCTTGAGCGATGAAGCGACAGTGAGGGTAGTCGAGTATTTCTTCCAGCGATTGCTGCTCGTTTGCTATTAAGACAACGCGACAATGCAGGACGAGTTCGCACAAAAATAGGGATGCGCGCTGGCGAATCTAGAGCGGACAGCCAAAAAAGCGATAGACGTACCGTATGCGATCTGTAGCTAGTTCCCTGAAAGTGTACCATACAATCGATGCAAGTGAAGGATGCGCCTCGGCATTGGTTGCGATGAGGGTCAAGCTTTTTCTTGGTGAGGACATCACCACAAGCCTAGGAGAAAAGAAGGAAGGGTTAGATCCAATGCTCTTTGATTCGTCGATATCTCCCGTCTACCAATAATGAGCGCAGCGACGGATAAGACTCACCTCACATGAAAAGGAAACCATTTTGGCCCCCGCTATCACCCGCTCAGCAAGTGACTGGGCGAATTATTGGACAACAAAGTGACTGGCTTTAGGGTTGCAGCAGAACTGTCAGACACAGGGCTCGAAAGCGCAATCTTTATCTGTTTGTTTGCACTAGAGACAGACAGAAGTTACGGAGTAAGCGATGAGCACCTTCGGCGGAGGTAATGTCAACAAAGAGCGTTGATGGAGAAACAAGAGCAAGTAGGCGAAGAGAACGAGTTTCGGGCCGGTGCACAGGGATACAGCACACTAAAGATCCTCTTCCCACTATAAGCGCTGCTTCCTGCGACCGCTTGTAGTGTTTGAAAATTTCCTGAAATTCCGTCTTCTGCTGAGCGCGTCTTTTGCGAAAGAAAATGAACAGGGAAAAAAAAAGAAAAAAGAAGCTCATCAATAATTCGGTTTGCGCTATTCCCGTCTGGGACTAATAGATGTCTGGAATCTGCCTTACAAACCAGGTATCCACAATCTATCAAAGAGCTCCACAATCGCGATCATATAGATACTCCCCAGGTCCAGCAACTTCTACATCAACCTATTTTTATCATAATGTGGCTCGCCAATTCTAAGTATAATCTTTGTGGCAGTGGAACATCGTATCCCTCGGGGGCCGTTTCACGTTCGTAGTACGCATGTGTATTACCTTTCGCTCGGTCTACACCCGCTTATGGGCGATTCCTGAGACGCGTTACAGCCAGCCAACGAGCAGGGGGTCCATGGTCGTAAGAACGGAGATACAGGATCAACTGTATCAAGGATGGGCGCGGCATCCACATCCCTACAATGATCGGCTCAGGTTGTCAGAAGACTCGCTGCGGCATGGCCAAGGAGGGGCACTGTCCCTCAGCTGATTGGAGGCGGGGCCGTGAGTGCGCAAACCACAGGAAAATTCATATGAACATTCGGTATCATAGGGTAGAATGGGACACAGCTGAAGGTAGAAACTATATATATCACAATGTTGGGTTCCTTTTGTCGATATCATGGGTGCGGACTATCGAGAGATATATATTTAGGAGTCGAGAATGCATCATAGGAAGTCTGCTACCCTCAGCCACGCCGATTGCTTGGGTAACCAAGACTAATCTCAGATTTGCTTGTTTGCCAGACTTGAGCGACATATCTCTCACTTTCATTTTGCAGAAAGTAGTGATGGCGATATGAAGAAGCTGCCTCTGGCGGATGGCCACGGTCAGTTGTGTGAGTCACGAATGCTTGCAGGCTGCCATCAAAAGTCACGCGTCCAGACAGGAATTCCTGTGTAGCCATGTGCAGACTGTCATATGCCCCTCCATTTGATAGGGAAATGCTGAAGCTTGTATTTGTATGCAATGCCTTGCAGATATCGAAGTACCAATGGATAGCAAGCAATCTTTTTCCATGCGAGGGTATATTCTGAGCTCAATCTACGCAGAAATTCTGACAACTGCAGACTCTATTATTGTACAAAGAGGCCAGCTCCAGCAAAATGGTAATTGTGAGACGACCTGCGTGATAAGTGTTGTAATAAACGAAATTGTAGGGGGGGAGACAATGGCAATCAGCCCCGAGTAGTTCTGTGATGTTCCGTCAGCAGCTGATATGTGAAATATTGAGGGACTACTGACGGCTCCTTATGTATCTCGACAGGCGTAATAGCGTCGGCTTCGCGATCCTTTTTGTGATGCAGACCCTGACTCTCAGCCTGAGACTTGTCTTTATGGCCTGCTGCCTTCTCGTCCTCTGCGCAACCGCAATCGTAAAAGTCGCCGATGTTGTTGCAATCAAATTCGGGTTTCCCTAGCATCGCATTGACCTCATTATGAATAAAGCAGCCCCAGCCTGCAGCAGCGTTCCTTGAAGATACTTGTGGCGGGTATTTCTTCAGGTGACTTTGAAAGTGAGAGGCGCATTCACCGCTAGTCCCTCAAGTCAGCTCTTGAGAGACGTTTTGTCTGGACCACAACGATAAACGTACCAAGGATAAAGCCGCGCAAAGAGCAGAATAAACGAGCGTAATGTTTCCTGTTGCTCTTCCGTCGGTTCTTCTGGATACCGAGCCAACATGGTATGGAAATATTTCCAGGTCGCACGACCCAACTCCGCTCTGATGTTCCCCAGTCTGATTCAGTATGTGTTTTAGCCTCCAACAGAGAGGTTCGCGTACTTTGCAGTCTCATTCCCCAGCCGGGGCATGATCACCTCTCCCTTCAGCAAATCATCTTTGACTGTCACGGCCGGCGCAGATTTATCGATGTGACCGGGAGCCCGGAGGGCGGGACTGGGCGGCCCTTGGGGTCGAATGAAGAGGACGAATAAAACAAATACTGCTATCGCTGAGGTGATTAGAATACGTCTGGTGATCTGCCGGTTGGCCATTGTCGATTCAAGGAGCTGTCTAGATAAGGAGAGGCTCGAATGTGAGATAATCACTAATCGCTGATTGAAAGAGAGCTTAGTCGCTCAGCGCCCAATCCAGTGGACGACAATGCCAAAATGGATTTGAAAGAGTGGATCGAAGAGATTATACTATTAGAAAGATGAAAATAAGATTGAAGAATGAAGACAGGGAAGTCGAAGTGGTCCGCATCTCATTGCGACGACAATATCGCCTTCCTTTCAATATTCCTTTGTACACGTGGAATGCATAACAATAATAGATAGATTGCTGATAGCTTACTAACTATGAAAACTTATGCATGTTCTCGGCCCTTGCTCCGCATTACACTGGTCACATGATATAATGCCTGAGGCATCAGTCCGATAGTGTTCGATAACGATAATGATGTCGCGTGCGGAGAAATCTAGGTATTCTGTCCGTGGTCTGCTTTTGTCGCCTGCACTTTCTTGCAGGCTTATTAGTCCCTAATTCGAACGATAGGCAATTTCTGAGCTTTACCTGGCTCCCCGAGGATCATCTATCCCACCATCACCATACTCCCTGCCTGACTCCGCGTCTCCAGGATGGCTGATTGTGGGGTTTCTTTAGCGGCATCAAGCTCCTCAGACTGATGGGACCTGACGTGTTCAATTTGGGTAATTTCAAAAGCCATTTAATCTTCGAACCTCGAGTTTAGGCTTGTCGACTCTGAGCGGAATAATTTTACCCGCGGCTTTAATTTCCAGCATTGTCTAGCATAGGCTTTTTCCTGAATTGGTCCCTCGTGTTTTTATCCTTGTCCTTGATCCGACGGATTGTGCTATACTTGCCTATTTAGCCTAATACTATCTTCTCCAGGTTTATGTGGAGTGCGGACACCAAAACGTGGGCCCATGCCTCCAGAGGGGGATATCTCCGCATCTGCAATGGCTCAAGCTTGGCAGCTTGCCTAATAGGCAGTTGACAATATGGGAGGTTCTTCCTACCGACGTCCCTGGTTAATGTCCTGGCATCCGTGCCGGGTCCAATCCCGCTGAATGCTCGGATGTTGGGTATTTAACCCTCAGATGCCAGCTCAGGACAATCTCCCAGAATAGGGATACCTCCACCATTTCAACCAGACCTCTCACTCTTGCGAAGCAATGCTACTGTCAGTACTGCTGACTGTCAGCTGGGTGGTGGGAGCTGCACACGCTCTTGGGCAGGAGCCCATCGTTGCCTTTGACGAAACCAAGGGAGCCTACAAGTTAGCGGGGAAGAATACTGCTGCGGGTGTAATTCTCCTTGACGGCGACGACTGGCCTGGTGTCATCCGTGCGGCTGGTGACCTCGCTGCCGATTTCGGACGAGTGACCGGTACAAATTTCACGACAGGCCTAATCAATGGCACAACCCTTGATGATCAATCTTCCGTTCGCGGTAAGAGAGGAGTGATCATTGCTGGAACAATTGGCAAGTCCCGACTCATCGATTCTCTTGCCAAACGGGGCAAGATTGATGTCGATCAGACGAAAGGAAAATGGGAGGCATTTCAGACCGAGGTTGTTAGCAATCCTATTGAGGGTATCTCGAACGCGCTGGTCATCTCTGGCAGTGATAAACGAGGAGTCATCTACGGCCTTTACGATATTTCCGAGCAGATCGGAGTTTCTCCCTGGTATTGGTTCGCCGACGTCGCGCCTGCCCAACACAACGAGGTATATGCGTTGGAAAAGAAGAAGGTCCAGGGATCTCCGTCTGTCAAATATCGAGGAATCTTTATCAATGACGAGCAACCAGCTCTGACTAACTGGATTAATGAAAACTACCCTCCTGCGAGGTACGGTCCCGGTTTCAATGCCGACTTCTACTCTCGTGTGTTTGAGCTTCTTCTCAGACTGCGTGCGAACTATCTATGGCCGGCAATGTGGAACAATGCATTCTATCCCGACGACGCACGCAATGGCCCCACAGCAGATGAGTATGGAATCGTCATGGGCACTAGCCACACAGAACCCATGATGCGAGCGACGAAGGAACAGTCGCTGTTTCTGGAGGGACAGTGGGATTGGACCTCAAACAAAGAGAACATCACCCAGTTCTTCAGGGAGGGCGCCATCAGAAGCAAGGACTGGGAAGTGCTTTGGACCCTTGGAATGAGAGGAACACATGATAGTGCGAATCCAACCAATACAAAGCAATCACTGGGAGATATCGTGAATACGCAGCAGCAGATTCTGTCAGACGTCCTCAACATGACAAACATCTCATCCATTCCACAGATGTGGTGTTTGTACAAGGAGGTTGGCCAGTTTTATGAGGAAGGACTGCGTGCTCCGGATGACGTAACTCTTCTCTGGGCAGATGACAACTGGGGCAATATTCAGCGGCTGCCGGTTGGCAATGAGACGGCTAGGTCTGGTGGTGCAGGAGTGTATTACCATTTTGACTACGTCGGCGATCCCCGTGACTACAAGTGGATCAATACGATTTCCCTTCAGAAAACCTGGGAACAGATGCATCTTGCATACGAGCGCCAGGCAAGGCAGATCTGGATTGTGAATGTCGGAGACCTTAAGGGAGTGGTGAGTACTGAGCCGGCGACTGGATTGCTTGAAACCTAACATAGAATCAGGAACTTCCCCTGAATCATTTCCTTGACCTTGCATACGATACACCATTGTGGTCCTCGCCTGATAGCACTCTTACATGGCTCAATCAGTGGGCTACCCGTGAATTTGGAAAACAAGTGTCCAGCAAAATAGCTGATATAATGGATCGCTATGGGATGTATGCTGCGCGGAGAAAGTATGAGCTCATTGACAGCTCAACGTTTAGTGTGATCAACTATAACGAAGCGGACCGGGTTCAAGAGGACTGGCGGGCGCTTGTAAACGATGCGCTGAGCGTATACCAGAAGTTGAACGATTCAGCCCGTCCTGCGTTCTTCGAGCTCGTTTTGCAGCCTTGCATGGCTGGCCAAATTGTCACCAATATCCATATCACAGTGGCAAGAAACAATCTGTACGCAGGCCAGCGCCGTACGAGTGCCAACAGTTTGGCGGATCAAGCCCTAAAGCTCTTCAAAGATGACCACACTTTGACGCAGAGGTACCACCGACTTCTTGATGGCAAGTGGAATCATATTATGGACCAGACGCATCTTGGTTATGATTACTGGTATGTCTCATTCGTTCCTGTACGTCTTTGAATTGGTACTAATCAAGCGCCAACAGGCAGCAGCCGATGAGGAACACATTGCCCCCTCTGGCCTATACACAAGTACTTGAGGAAAGTCTAGCAGGAAGCATGGGTGTGTCTGTCGAAGCAAGCAATGCATCGGTACCGGGTGATGACGTCTGGCATTCGTTATCATCTAATGCTCTGACCCTGCCACCCATGGATCCTTACGGACCAAGCACTCGCTGGATTGACGTCTACTCACGCGGCACGCACGATTTTACCTTTACAGTATCGCCATATGATTCTTGGGTCAAGGCGTTCCCCTCGTCCGGCAAAATCTCAGCATCTGGAAACAACACAGACGCTAGGATTCAGGTCTCCATCGACTGGGAAAAAGTGCCCTCCGGATCTCATATGGCCTTGATCAATGTCACCATCTCATCGGGTGATTACGGCAACTTTGGAATGCCCACAGTGCAGCTTCCTGTCAACAAGACGTCAGTTCCAGCTGATTTCCATGGCTTTGTAGAATCGGATGGCACGGTTAGCATGGAAGCTGAACATGCCACCCGTAACACGTCGTCAGCTGATGTCTCGTACGCCGTCATCCCAAGATATGGCCATACGCTGTCCGGAGTAACGCTGCTCCCTGTCACGATTGAAACACAGCAGCCTCCATCCTCTCCTCGACTTGAGTATGATATGTACTTGTTTTCCAATGTGTCCACTGTCAAAGCCACGGTCTACCTGGGACCCTCGCTCAATACCGATCATTCCCGTCCCCTCAAATACGCCATTTCCATCAATGACGCTGACCCTCAAGTGGTGCAGTTTGTTCCCTCGACTCCTTTGGGCTCCTTGCCGTCGAATTGGGGCACTACGGTCAGTAACGCCGTGTGGAGCAATACTACCAGTCATGCAATTCAAGGCGGCGGTAGAAAGAACACACTGAAGCTTTGGGCAGTAGAACCCGGAGTCGTGTTTCAGAAGATTGTGGTAAACCTGGGAGGAGTCAGGCCAAGCTACTTGGGACCGCCGGAGAGTATGATTGTCTAGCTGCTTGTATATAACGCATATAATTCTGATCAAGGAGATGGAATGGATAATCTGAGCCTAGATAAAGTTGCATTCATGTTGCGAAGAGACCTTGATGCGTAGTGTTAGGGCTCAGTAACTGCTCGGCGATCGCTCGGTGACTGGATGATTGCGGTGATTATATAATCAACTTTTTGTCTCTATACTTCGACCTTCCGCGATCTCTCATAGATCCCTCCGCACCGCATCGACCACTTTGCAAAGGATGGCGTCGTCAATCAGATCTTCTGCATTTCAATTGCTACACCGGGGTAGATCCTCCCTGGCACGCACACCTCAGCGACGATGGGCGCAGGTGCATGATGTGCGCTTCCTTGCCACGCATCACGATCCGAATCACATCCTGGACAGATACAAGTCGAAGCTGGACAGGAAGGCTAAAGAGTAGGTTATATGCTGATACGTGACTCTCAGCCCCTGCTGAATGGCCGCTGACGTTGCGCCTATAGAGAAGGTCATGGCTCAGTAGAGTCTCTCAAGGAAGCCTACAAGGACAAGATTCAAGGCCTCCGCCGCAACGCAGCTACGCCTCTCACCCCAGAGCCAACTACACCTCCTTCCTCCCCGAAGTCTTCCTCTGCCGCCCATCCACCACCCCCTCCCACACCACCGCCATCTCCCAAGACCGCCGCCGCCGCAGCGTCCGTCTCAGGCTCCTCCACAGGCATCAAGCCGCTCAGCTCCTACCTCGACGTCGAGAAAGTCCTCGCCCTCCCCCAGAAGGAGATAGAAGCCCTCTGGCGCCTCCGCCACGCCAACAACCCCAACTCGATCTGCGCCTGCATCCCACTAGAAACCTACCAGCGCATCGCCTCCGCCGCCCGCCACAACCCGCAATTCATCCTCCCCCTCCCCCGCTCCTCAACCGAGCAAGCACCCGCCGAGGACGGCTCCACCGTGGACCCCAACGCCGTCGGCGCAGACATCCACTTCTTGCAGTGGGCGTTCCACCCGCCTGCCTCCCCCGCCTCCGGCGCTTCAGCGAACAACCACACTTCCACGGTGATCTTCACCCAGCTGGCCGCATACAAGCTGCACGGTGCGTTTGCGCAGCCGCATACGACGATCACGCACCACCTCGATCTGGCGGATGAGAAGGGGTTGGTTCTGATGTATGGGCACGTCATGCCGGATTCGGGGATCTCGACGACCGAGGCGAGCTGGTTGGTGAGCTGTTTGCAGCGGTTTTATGATTTCGAGGGCCAGGCGAGTGGGCGGAAGGGGGAGCTGGTGCGCATGTTTACTCGCGGTGATGTGCAGGGGTTCAAGATGGAGGAGTTGATGGAGGAGGCGGAGAGGCTGTAGAGGCTTCGTTTGACGTTGTACTATATGCTTGTGTATAAATTTATAGATTAGAATGGGTCTCGTCAAGACTACTTGCGTCGCCAATGAGAGAACGAACTGGTGGCATCTTACAATTTTGTGGACCTATTCGGTTAAATGGTACACAATAGCAATTGGTTGCAGAATCTGGCGATCCATAAGGTATATTAATCATAAATCGGATCTAGTACATACAGCCATCCAAACATTCACCTCATACACCTTGGCGAACAGGAGGAAAAGGAAAGCAATCAAGCTAAGAGGACAACGCCGTTGAGTAAGACACACATTAAAACAGTTTGATATCATCAGAACAAAGCGAAGACAAGCCGCCAGGTAATACGTAGTATAGGCACGAGGTATCGTCCACTCCGGTCACAGAGTATAAGTCGAGAAGGGGAAGGTGAACTCTAGAGAAAACAGGACGGTGGTGAAGAGGAGGCGGCGCGCGCCAATATGATGCACTATTCGTAGAGCAGAGAACACATTAAATCCTCGGGGTGTGTCTCAGGATCAACCAGCTAGCCAAACTCATAGAGTTCTCGAATAGGGGTATCGATAATGCACACAACAGTGCGCCTTATATGCAGCGGATTATTAGATCGGTTAGGCCAGTCAGCGACGAGGCTGTTCTATTGCTTTCGTATCACTTCCTCCATGACAAAGTCATGAATATGCTCAAAGTAGCCTGATTCGGCGACAGTATCATTGTGGCCGCCGTTTGGAAGGACGCGCCAGACCTTGCGGCTTGATTTGCAAGCTGCGAAGAGCTGTGTCATGTTTGAGGGGCTGAACCACATCGGTGATTAGTGTCTTATTCAACTGGAAGATAGTCGATGAACTTACGGAACCAACTCATCCTTTAACCCACTCAGGAAAAGAATAGGTACGTCTCGAATCTTCGGAATAACCTCCTCGCTCGGCCAATGCTGGTGACATAGTCGAGCGAGATACCGGGCGGGAGGAAAGACGCTGTTCGTGTGAGTATGATCACTCAAACATCAAGCCAAGACAGCGGAGTACTTACTTCGGGATTAGCTTGCGGATACTTAAGAATGTATTCTCCAGTATTAAACCGCCAACATCACCACTATCTTGGTTCTCAGCAACCAAGTTGATGGCTACTGCACCGCCTAGGCTTTGCCCGTACACGACAATCTTCGTGTTCCTCGTCTCTGCCCGTTCTCGTAAGTAGTCGAAGCCGGTTTGCGCATCGATCTTAAGTCCTGCCTCATCTGGAACACCCGTCGAAAGCCCATAGCCGCGATACTCCAACATCAATACATTGCAGCCCAGAATCTCTTGGAGCACCTTGGCGATAGGGACACGGTGGCCAATATTGCCCGCATTCCCGTGAAACATCAACACAGTTATGTTCCGAGCATGTTGCTTGTTTGCGGGACGGATGAAGAAGGCATGTAACGACTCTCCGTCCGGTGTGGGAATTTGGAGGTCCTCATAGTCGCTGATGCCGAATTGTCGCGGACTGGGCACATTGCTGCGGGCATCGGTGGGGACGTTTCGAGGGTAGATCAGCTCACTGGACACGCGATCAGTTTCCGGCTATACAAGACACAGAATATTGTCATCTAATGGTCAGGATCGCACTTTTGCTTAAAGTACAAGAGACCACTGGCAACAACGGCGAGACCAGAAGACGCCAGTACTGGTAATCGAAGAAAATGGACGGCATTGTTAGCCATGGCCGCGATGCTCCATGAGGGCGGGGGCGGAGGAGACTCGGACATTGCGGCTGATGTTAGACCAGATAAGTAGAATGAATGAGAGTATACTGATGATATGGTTTTGTCTTTCGAGAATCAATCATGTGAAGGAATGATCACATCAATAAGTCATCATAGACAAGAAATTAGCGATGGACAGGATGAGATTGCCTAGAGGACTAGCAATCTGGTTTAGTATGAAACGGGTTATATTATGGTAGCATCGATGGCTGGAGTTCAGAATGGAATTGTTACTTTACATGCGGGGAGAATGCTTTACCCTCCAGACCAATAGGAAAAAGTATCCACCACACCGCCGGGCAGAATCAGCTTGAGCTGACAACGTAACGCGCTCTGCCTGTTGGAAGCTCCGTCAGAGCTATCATCATCAGACTACCTACTATTAACAACCCGCAACCACAATCTTCATCAACCGGCCATTCCCATTTTCTAGCTTGTTGGACGGCTCGCAACTTTTTTGTTCTTCTCATTCCGACAGTGTACATTTCGTCAAACGAGAATTCTCCGTCAGCCTCCAGCTGCCACAGACACAATGGTCGGCCACGGCGTCACAGGGATGCTTGGGGAAGGTAAGTCACTGGCTTATCGACGAGTGACAATAGAGCAGAGCGATTTCTGATGGTCTCCTTAGATGGAATTCACGTTGACATGAACCACTTGAAGACCGGAGAGGTCAAGTACGTCTTTCAACTCCTGCTCCTACATGTTCCTCATTAACCAGCTGCTAACCACCATGCCTTTACAGCCTAGGTACCTCGATGTGAGTGAGCTGATTTCACGTTGCCCCTTTTGGCTGGTATATTGATTGCAGATAGTATGGCTATCAACTTCAAGGACGGTGTCATTCTGGGAGCAGATAGCCGGACAACTACTGGAGCTTACATCGCCAACCGAGTTACCGACAAACTCACACAGGTCCACGATACCATCTGGTGCTGTCGATCTGGATCTGCGGCAGACACGCAGGCTGTCGCGGATATTGTCTCCTATCATCTCAACATGTACGGCATCGTGAACAATGAGCCTCCCACCACCCAGGTGGCCGCGGCTCTATTCCAGGAGTTGTGCTATGAGAACAAGGATATGCTAAGGTTGATAATTCCCCCAGCTTGCTGAAGGAGAAGCAAACACTTACTGACGGGATTTGATGGTAGTGCTGGTATCATCATCGCGGGATACGACCCACGCCATGGCGGTCAGGTGTACTCGATACCTCTGGGCGGGTCGCTACACGAGCAATCCTACGCCATTGGCGGCTCGGGATCAACTTACATCTACGGTTACTGCGATGCTCACTGGAAGGAGAACATGACGGAAGAAGAAGGCATCAAATTTGTGCGCAACGCATTGCAGGAGGCGATCAAGTGGGATGGTAGCTCCGGAGGTGTGATTCGAATGGTGGTGCTGACGTCCAGGGGAGCTGAGAGACATTTGTATTTGCCAGACACGGACTACACTGCACCCGGCGTAACCAACAGATCATGAGTGCAACATATACAGGATGATTTTGTTTTGAAAGATGTTGACCACTTAAAATGTGATCATCTGCATCAATATCTGCTGATGCAGTACCTCTCTAGTCGCGAGGACGGACAATTGCCTTGTCGAGAGGCATCACCAGGATAGAGGGATTCTTCACATCCAAGCCAAGATCATGTAGCGGAGTATGAGCGGGACATCTGAAAGTGACGGTTTGCGGGATTTAAATGGACCTGATAATAATAAAGACGCTACCTACAATCTCAGTTCCCTGTCGTCGAACTCCTCGAGGTCGATAATAATAGGAACTCCGTAGCGCGTTTCATGCGTATCATCAGTGCAGGGGATTGACTCAGTGAGAAGAGAAACCAATGATGCTTTGACTGGGAGAACATTGCTCTTTCCGGTGATGCGATTGCTCATTTCCAGCTCGACTTGGGGTCGAACAGAACAATGAATAAGGAATCAACGACGTGATTATGCAATGTAAATACTTCATATGTCGGTGGACCAAGGATCGTAACAGGAGAACTCTAGAAGATGAACCAGTCATATTCCGTACTAGGCACCGTATGCGAACCCGAATCATTGCGGATCCCCTCAACACCTGCACCGTCAGAGTCCTGTCATTCGTCCGCTGGAGCCCGCCTCTATTGGGCGACAAACTTGACCTTAAGGTATCATACAATAGTGCTAGGTAGTAACTATCCGTAGAACTTAGTAGTTTTTGGATTCCGGTCCGGATGCTTGGAGTATCCGAGTATTTGTCTCTTTCTGGTCATGGACATAGAGTATGTCGCCGACTCTGTTGCGATGTGTATCTTCTTGAGGGATGAAGAGTGGTCGCTAGGACTGCGGAGAACATCATCTTATCGCCAGGGAATAGTCAGCACTATCCAATTAGGATCATCATGATAGTAGTGCTAGTTAACTATTGTTAGCTGGGGTACGGAGTTCTCTGTTAAGATAACTTTAAGGTAGATGTAGTTGTGGCTCAACGCCTCAATAGAGACAGTATCGTTAGTATTGAAGCTTTAAGAGAGTATGTAGAGAGGTAGGTTCCGTGGCTAGATATCAGTCAGTCATGGTTGATGGAGTTGACAGACTGAATCCCATGCATCACAATCATTAGTATTTTCTTTTTCTGGTTTATCGCTAGCATAGATAGACAGTAGCATTCATCATCGTCAACATCATCACTTGGTGATTGTGGAACCCCCCATCCTTCAGATTTCCCTGTTGTACGGAGCAGTCTCCCTCATCATCCTGTAGTCTATCGCCTTCGCCACTACTGACTGCATCTCTCTCCTGATTTCATCCTCCGCCTCATTCCTTTCCTCTCCCATCCTTCATTCCATCCTCCTCTCTCTCTCTCTCTCTCTCTCTTTCCCTTCATTTTGTTTTTCGTCCTATCTTTGCTTTTTCCCCCTGAAACCTCATCTTCGCCATGGACCCTCGAACTGCTTTTTATCCTCAGTGATCCCTTTTCCAGCCTGGGTCGGGTCCATTGCCTGCCGTGCTCTGTGACCTTTCAGTAATAATCGCGGGTAAAACTGCGGTCTCTAGGTCCAGGCTCTTCTAACGTTTCTTGAATTTCTTGTTTATAATAGAATAGTAATCAACCCCTCCTTCTCCTTAGACCCTCAAGCCCAATCCATCTCACTCTTATCTCCGAGTCTTGCGATCGAGTCTCGATTTCTCCCATGTTCCCCACTTCGCTTGTCCTCAATGCTTTCTTGAGGCTGATTGTTGTTCCGCCACAGTTGCTCTAGGATTCGCCGTTGCACGCGCGATTTCTTGCAGTTCGCCCTCTATTTTCTCCTCGGCTTGACATGGGATCGGTCGTTCTGAATCTACCGCGGTCGGATCGAATTGATAGCTCCTACACGATGCTGGGAAGCTCCATCAATCCATCGGAATCTGTTTATCGGACCTCATCTCACCACCCGTCGTCACAGCTGGAGACCGGAAGCTCCAGGTCCACGTCCGCGACCACTACCCCCACCTCGTCCACGGCCCCGCCATCGACGTCTGCCGCTGGCTCTGCTCGCCTGCACTCCCACCCACCACCATATGATGTGCCGGCCTACATCACCCGTCAATCTCACATCAACTCCCTTCCTTCCACCCGGGCGTCTTCAACTACCCCAGGGCCAACCCACACCCCTCCCCATTCGGCCTCAATGAGCTCGACCACCGCCAGCCACACATCCAACCCCGAAGTTCCCTTCCAGTCGACTCCATACACCTCTAATCGATTCGGAAATGTCAGCCAGGCATCCACGGAGCCGACGCTGGTCGCTTCGTATAGCCACTCATCACCCGCGTCGCCGCGGTTGAGGCCGACATTTCAGTCGCTACGCTCTCTTGGAGGCTCCGAGGCCAGTTCGCCGAGTCGCATCAAAGTTCGTGACCTGTCTCATATCCAGAGCTTCGCCAGCGAAGAGTTTTTGGCACAGTCCCAGAGGAGCCAGGCGCCCGGGTCATGGTACCAAGAGCGCCAGTATGAAATCAGTTCCATGCCGGTCACGGATATCATTGAGATGGTTGCGGGGCTCCTGACGAAAATCACCACCACCAACGACCTGCACCACGAGCATGTCCATCGACATATTCCGCCACCTGATAGCACGGCCAACCTCAGCCCACAAGCTACCAGCGTACTTGCTTTTCATGGCAAAAACGTACCGAGTATCACTATCCTCAGTTACCTAACGCGTATCCACAAATATTGTCCCACCACCTACGAAGTTTTCCTCAGCCTGTTGGTATATTTCGATCGCATGACGGAGTTAGTGAACAAGGGCCAACTTGAGCGCCTGCAGCGCCGCTGGGACCGTGGAGCAACCGTGCACACTGACCAATCCAGGTCGAGGTTTTCTGATTCGTCGACCGGTCATCATACGCAAGCATCCCCAATGGTCACTCCGCCATCATCGACCGGGATGCGAGCGCAGGATCCAAAGAGTCCATCCTCCATTTCACCGTCTCTTTACCCCCAGGACGAGAACGAAAGCCTGTCCCATTTTTTCGTCGTCGATAGTTTTAACATTCATCGGCTGGTCATCGCGGGCGTGACTTGTGCCAGTAAATTCTTCTCTGATGTTTTTTATACTAATTCTCGATACGCAAAGGTTCGTAACTTTTGGACCGAGGTAAAAACAAATTCGCTAACTTTGGATCAGGTCGGAGGGCTCCCCCTAGTCGAACTAAACCATCTCGAACTTCAATTCCTACTCCTGAACGATTTCCGCCTCTCGATCTCCGTTGAAGAACTCGAAGCGTACGGTACGATGCTGGTGGAATTCTACGCTCGAGAAATTATAGCCCAGCAGCAGCAACAGCAGGCACAGAATCCAGCAGTGCCTCGACCGATCGATCCACCCACGGCTACCGATTCCCAATCGGACGGAATGTATATGCGATCCCGCGAGAAGCGCCGAACCGACCAGCCAGAGGTCCGCCAGACACCTACGCCCCCATAACAGCCATAGCTCAACTATGGCTTGCCAGCTGGGTTACGTTTTACCTTGCAATGCTATAGCTATAGGGTTTACTGGTCTGGTGCGCGTGGATATGTATCAATGACTGAGCTGCTCTCATTTGATGATTGGCATCACATACCCATTTTTTCGCTCTAGCCTTGTGCTTGTGCTGGTTCCGGTTCTTCTTCGCGCATCTCCAAGACATCGCTTCATCACTTCACATTTATTTCGTATAGACTTTGGGCTGTCAGCATGTCGGTTTTCTCACATTGATTCTGGCGACGTTTCTATATCTTTCTACTGGTCTTCATTCGTCTCGATATCCTGCAGTCTCGAATCACCTTGTCCTCCACCTGCTGTCTCTGCATCCATGAGCTGGCGTTCCCGGCGTTGTTCTCTCCACTGTCTCTTTTCTCTTTCATTCAGGCACTCTGGCCTTGCGAATCATAACATTATATTCTCTTCCTAATTTCCCATTGAGATTGATCAATCGCAATCATCTCAAGCTTCATTTTCAGAAATCCGCATACGGTATGCAACTGCTCTATCAACTCCCATGCAGACACGGAAATAACAGTGGAAGAGCCACTGCGACTGGGGCAGGACGCCTCTCATCCATACTTGCCTTATAAGTACCGAGTGTCAAATCGCATCGAACTCTAGGGCTTTGTGGATATATCGATCGCTTGCATCATAGCAGGATGAGACAGATGAGACACATTGCATTTAGTTTACATGGTTTGATGGCCACAATGGATAGATCCATTCCTTCCTGATCTGGACCAAAGTAAGCGGACAAGTGTCATGTCGAAAGCTTCATTTGACCTGCAGCCATAGCACCTGTAGATGATATGAAGCTCTGATTATCTGGTTATCAAGAGTAGACCCTGACTTCCTGCATCTGATATTTAGGGATATGCAGATGCAGATGCACGGCGTGCACGGCGTGCATGCAGCGTATGCAGTTATGTACCCCTTACACCAGTCTAGGTTGCATAAAGACACCCCATCAATTGTTCTGCCCGATACGTAGATGAACAATATAGGGAAGCATATGGCTTTAGGCTGATCATCCAGCAGTGTACAGAGACTGCACAACCCTCGTCAAGCTCCCGCAGTCTTCATCTACCGCAACTTATGGTTGGATATGTATATGCCTTTTTTAAAGGTCGAGAGCAACGATAAGGAATGTTCGGAATCTGAGACTCATGCCTAAGAGGGCGAGCGCCGACCCACCTCCGATAGGCATACATGAGTACGTGGAGTGAAAAACTGAAAGATGTCATGGTCAAAGCCCAAGGAGAACAGCAAGAGCAACCGAATCAAAGGGGACTGGAATAAGAGATATGTATAGAAACCATCAGTCGGTACGTGCAAAGCGCGAAACATTGATCTCAGAACAAACAAGACCAACAACCCGAACACACAGAATCCATCCATCTCGACGCATCAAGCCCGCATCGTCCAAACCCCATTGTCCAAACCCCTGGCAACGGATGATCATAGTACTTGCTGTGGTACGTTAGCTACGGCTCTGAGAAACGACCCAGCGAAAGCTTGACTCACGTATCTTGCTTCGAATGCTTGCCAACAACCTCTGCCAGCGCACAACTCCAGTTCGTCCGCCCTAGATCATCTCAGTCAGTGCGAAGAACACACCAACAAATGACACCAAGCTTACCTGTAGTATCTGTCGGAATTTCTCCTCCGTCCAACTTCCGGCAATCCATAGAACCGTTAACACGCTAGGAGATCTCAGCAGTTGCCAGCGAAGCAGAGACCAACATTGGGACTTACCATGTGTTGCAGCAACACAAGCCACCATCCTCTGGCACCGTCCTGGAGACTCTCTCGATCGGCCGCGGGCCTCTGGCGCTTCAATTGAAGTCAGGCAACTCAAGAAGCGCGACTTGTGTCACCAGAAAAGCACTCACCTCAAGTCAAATCGAAATTCGGCTGCAATACAGTTTTTCAAGAGTGGCTACCAATCACTGGATCGTATCAGTGCCAGCTGCACAAACAAAAGGAGAGCAACTTACCCCCAGCTTGACGCTTTTGCGTCACCACAACCCTCCGGATGCGTACACAGACTTCGGTATCGGTCTCGGCATCGGCTCGGCGGGGCGGAGCGCCGCCCTTGGCGCCTCTGGCTATGGGCGTACGGGGGTGCGTTATTGCCCCTGAGATGGGAACCCTCCACGCAGAATGTCCTATAATTCCAGTCAATCCAGCTTCGATGATGTCAGGAGACGGTCGCCTTACCTTAACATCAGAGCAGGAGCGCCATCAATACTTCAACAGGACAAGTACGCCAGCGATCTGTAGACTCATCAGCAGTACCTGGTTGGTCCTCCCCCATCGAAGACCAGAGCCAGCAGACAACTATGTGAAGGGGTGGAGCTGAACAAATGGACTGATACGGTGTCACAGTGGAAATGAACGTTTACTCCGAGAAATCAGTCATCCTCATCAGACTCCCACGGAACGTGGTGGAAGTGGCCCGGTGGTCGCTAGGAACGACGTTTGAAAACGTGCCTCGTCGGCACGATCCAGCGAGATACAGGCTGTACCGTAACATCTCCGAAACGAACACGCTTCGCTGGCTTATCTTTGCGGAATCGGTCGGCTGACGGAGTCGAACGTTGAGTACGTATCAGGTCTGCAGCGGGCATCGCTGTGCTTTGGGTGCTGTTTGTCGGGGCCGTGTGAGGTGACGCCAGGTGTCCCTCGCGGGATCGGTTGGCGAGTCGTGCCTGACGCTTGGCTCGGAATTGCTCGATGGCGGCGGAACTAGTGGCCCGAGTCGAAGCACGTGCTTCTTGCTGAGTGATCATCTCATCGATCCAACGGCGTCGCTCGGCCTGGGCAGCGCGAAGGTCGGAGATGCGGTCAAAGACTGAAGGAGCGGAAAGTCGAGCTTGCTCTGAGCGAGTGACACGACGAACTACGTTGACAGGAGGAGCGGAAGGCGTCGACTGTTTTCGTGCTCTGACACGGGCGACAACTTCGTCGAAGGCAGCGAGTTTCGAAAGAGTAGCGCGCCGGTTGGCAGAACGAGCGGCTGCTTCTTCGGCAAGAATGCGGATGCGCTCGGTGAAACGGGTGGGACGGGTGGTCGGAACAGAAGAAGTGGAAGCAGGTTCGACTCGAGGTTGGGTTCTAGGTTTGACTCGCGGTCTTTCTGGGAGACCATAGCGGGAACGAAGGGCTTGAGAGCGGAGCCGAGCTCTCTCCATAATGGAATGCACGACGTCAAGGGGTCCATCCTGTTGAGTAGCTCCTCGACTCTGCGAGGGAAGGCTGCTGGTGAGAGTGTCACCTGTCCCAGTGCGAGCTGGAACAGGTGCACGAACGAAACGAGTAGAAGGGGCCGAAATGGAAGGAGCAGAACGTGCAGGGGCAGGGGCAGAAGCACGGGTAGACCGAGTGGCAAGATACGAACCTCTACGTACCTCAGTAGAAGATGATACGCCAGCTGAACGGATGGGCGAACAGTCTGACACAAAAGAGCTGCAAGGAGTCGTCGGAGTCCGGCGGCCCTTGAAGGGGGAGAAAGAAGAGGACAAGGAGGAAGAGGAGAAGGAGGAGGAAGAGGAGAAGGAGGAGGAAGAGGAGAAGGAGGGGGAGGCGGAGGAGGAGGAGAGGGAGTACCCAAGCTTGCTGAGACGAGACATTGCGAACAACGACCGTCAAAACAATTTGGTCAAGAACGGAAAAGAGGGAAAAGGGAAAACGGGAAAAGGGAAAACGGGAGCAAGAAAAAGGTGGTAGCAGGAGCAGGAGCAGTAAGCGCAGAAACACGATATGAAGTTGAGACGAACGCAGAGCGTGATATCACGATACTAGCATCAAACGACCATACGGTGTTGAGGAGAGAAAGAGGAAGAAAGAGGAAAAAGAGGAGGGAGGAGGGAAGAAGTGCTTTATAGGATCTGTTTTCAGTGCCAGGGAGAGGTAGAGGAAGGCGCTCAAGAGGAAGTCGAGGAGGAAAGAGCAGCACCGACAGAGGGGGTGAGGAAGCAGCAAAAGGCAATGACGGCACCAGGGAGGCACATATCGACAGCCACGGCAATAGAGGAACGACAATTGGAGCGATTGACATGGGATGGAATCGGAGAGCGTACATAATCAGGGTGTCCAATATCATATATCCAATGGGACAGAAGCTTGTAGACCTGCAAAGATGTCGATGTTGCTTGCGGATTTTGCTTGTCGTAGCCCGACATATCCTGCTCGTTAGTCCGCTGATGCCTAGGAAAGTGTGAGACGTTAGAAGCAGGCAGGATCAAGAGAAAAATTGTCCAATTCAAGAGTCCTTGAGAGAACAAAAAGGTATCGTCCATTCAAAGCACTGTTACAATCGGTACATTCATATCATCGTATGCATGCAGAATCATAAACGCCACTTCTCGGCCCCCTTGTGTTGGCCTATGCCTGCGCTTGTTCTCCGGTGCGCCCTCATTATTCAAAAGTCCATGCGGCATGCCGCGTTACTGCTGACCCTAGCATCATTCGATCCGCGGAGGACTCGACGACTTCTTCCCCAGAGGACTCAGACTTGAACTGTTCCCCATCAGTACCAGCTGTCATCTTCAGGAAGATGAATGAGGTGAGTTACTTACGACCGACGCCTCTCGCCTTCTTTTCGAAAGCCTTCGATAATCTTGGCGATCTCTTTCCTGCCAGCACGAGCATCAACCTTCCTCCCGCCCAAGCTCATGCTGACTTTCTCATTTGCATTGGCAGTTAACAGCCGTTTCAGAAGAAGGTGCCGCATACTCAGGCATACGAAGACGCCGCAATCGCTGCCATTTTCCTGTACGGGGGAATCTTCCAGATGAATAAACCGTATTGGCCGGTTGAGAAGCGTGCCAAATTTCTGCGTCACGGCTCTTGCCTCCCAGTAATTCCCCGGAGGCAGCGAATCATAGTGAAATGCCACGCCGTCAACGATGGATATCAGCAGAAGGGACCAGTGCGAGCCACCCTCTGCTTCAGTCACGTTTCGGCAATCGTTGATGGGAAGAAAGACATGTGTTGTACGCGAGAAGTCGGGTAAAGCCTCACGCAATGAGTGCGGATTCGGCGTCTGCAATAGCATGAAAGACATGCTGGGACGAAGAAGCACAATATTGGACGTCTTATACTGAGCGAGGAACTCCCTCTCCAGATATCTGGATCCATCAGTTCTCCGATAGCCATCACAAGACTCGCCCGACTTACTCCTCCCAGAAGGAAATAATCTGCGAGCACGTTAGTTACCGCGTGCATTCTACGGCCACTATGAAACCCACATTATCCGTAAGCCAGTCATTCTTGAGGGTCTGCATGTCCTCCCTCGTCACTGCAATCTGTCAGACCATCCAATCACGCTGATACAAACCCGGGGGGTACCGTACACCGTATATCGTAGTCTATCAACTCCAAGCCCTAGTCAAACCCACTTTGTCCCGAGCAACAATGACGAAGAGGAAAACCACTCACAACTAAGATACGCATCCTCCGGGTTCAACTGTCAAAGTCAGCACATCTCCAGCTCAAATATCTCCGCAGACCCGCCAAGAGTGCCTCACACGGCTCTTCCAGTCAGGTTGCCCTACTTACAGTATCACCAAACCGCCTCATCTTCTTGTGCAGCTTTCCTAAGCCACCGTCCCGCATTGTGTCCAGCTCGTGCACTCAATCCTCCGCGCTCACTATATATACGAACCCGTGACAGTGCGAATAGAACCCAACTTCGGCGATATGGAACGGGATGAATTTCGCGTAAACCGATCAAAGAACAGCGCTCGTATCGATTCAAAGGCACCTATACAATGAGGAATATACAAATCCAAAGAAAAATGCAATAACTTCTCGTTTCAGCCCGCCAGCTTTGCAAGACAAGCAACAACTGAACGAGCACGCCGCGGTAACCGGAGATTCGTTTCAAGAATGGGCTCGTACGACCTTGCGGGGGTGGGGGGAGGACGGACAACGGGATCGGCGCAGGGAAACTTTGATGAAAAGGCTGCTGTTATAGTCCTGTTCAAATTGGCAGAACTTGGAAGTAAGGCTTGATATCACTGACGGAGCCCCTTCGCCCCCAAGCTCCTCGTCGACAGGAAGATTCCAGCTTGCTCCCTGCGGCGATCAACAAGCCACTTCCAGAGTGCCGCGGTGCAAGACGTCACTTGGGGCGCGTGGCTGGTGTTTCACGTGATCTTGCCGTGGCTGGCTTTATGGGTGGGCGAGTTTCGGGACACTACGGAGTGAAGTGGTATAGACATTCGAATTTAATGCATTCGTCGCTCAATCAGGGGTATCTAAATGTACATTCGAATATTGCCTTCTGAATGGCAAGGGTAGTGGCAATAGGTCAATCAGCCGCTTCCTTTTCCACCAGCGTAATTGCAACCAAAGATCTTCCTTGTCCGTCATATCAGAAAATGCACGCCATAAACAGACAATAGAAAGCAAATATGAAGGATGAGTCCAACATTGGCCCATGTATCAGATTCATTCACCGTTGCAGTTGAGTGTGATATGAATATAAAACGTAGATGAAAAGTCATCCAGGGTCATGGTACTCTGAGGGGGAAAAAGAAGAAAAAAATTCAGGTCTTCCGCTGGGAATCATCATGCAAACATATAACATCATAACACGCGTAATTCTACCCGCGTAGTCAACTTCTAGCTCGAGAGCTTCGCAAAGTGTTTGTTCCAGATCCAACCGACTTGATGGGTTGGATCGTCCTGGTTTATGGCAAGCCAGAGCTCACCCTTTTCAGCTATGACATCGAAAATCTCCCCGGCGACATAAGTGAGATAAGGATAACCGGCTTCGCGCCGCGCCCGATCGATATTGAATTCATAGATGCTTGCAGCGAGGAAGAGAACCGTCGGCTCCTTGGGCGCGGTGTCCTCCACAGGTGCGTCGTCCTGCGGATTATCCGACATGGGCATAGCAGACGAGAAAAAGCCCGAATAACGACCTCCAGGAGACGTTGGTGGATTCCCCGAGACCTGGTCGTTGTTTGATGAAGTGGCCATAATGTCGACGAGGAATGGGGAGTCAAGACTTAACCTCGGCAGGCTGGGAAAGGCTTCTGTCTTGAGCGGTGGGGGCACGGACGCAGATGAGGAGTTCGTGATCTGCTGCAGAATCTGACTCCGTGGGATTTCAGAGGTTTCTGGCGGAGCACGACCAGAGATAGTTGAATCGGCTCGATGGCGGCCGTACGATCCCAGGGACTGAGAGTCGAGGCCTGGAGACTGGAAGATGTTGCTGCCGCTACCGAAGTCGTGGGAGACTTTAGGTGATTCGCCCATGGTAGAGCCTATGCGAGTGCTAGTGCTGTTCACAGTTGAGGGCCGCCGAGGTGAACTGATGGTAGGTGCAGTCGAAGGAGTGTTGAAGTTGACGAGATTGATAGTATCAGCCAGTAGCGACCCGTTGCACATGCCGAGCGACAAAACCTGCGCCTCCGCCAGAGTGAAGTTTGCAGACCAGTCACCGATGATCTGCTGGATATCGTCCGGAAAAGGGTCGATGAGATCCGCAAATTTTTTCTGAAGGAGGTTGAACCACGTAGTCTGTATGTGCACAAAGTTTTTCAGGCATGCCTCCATCATCTTAGCAGTCAGAGAGTAGAGCTTGGGCAATTCGTCCTTGAGGGTCTCGTTGAGAGCTACGAATTGTTCGCTTTGCTCTGTCGTTTTCTTGTCGGGCTTGTCACCACGGTCCTTGATGGATTTGAATCGGGCATGGTCCATTAGACGCTTGTCTCGTTTCTTCATCACTCTCTGGGGCCCGTCGTAAAGTTTGAGCAGCGTAACCATCGGGTCAATCACACTTTTCCGGACAACGGCGAGCTTGAATATTTGGCATTAGCCCGAAAGCTCATTTCCACACGTCAAGAGTCTGCTCGACTTACATGTTCAGGCAGAGCTGTGGCCATTATTTCACGCACTGCCATCTTCAGGTCACGCCACCTGCTCTCCACGTCCAAGTAGCCCGACTGAGCTACATCAACGAATCCTTCAATCGCGGCGACAAACTCTCTAAATCGATCTAAAGAGCTCTGGACTTCCCGTGTGTACATCTCCACATCACGCATCACCACTTGTAGCTGGAAGAAGCTATCTCCAAATCGTTGCGATAGGGCGTCGTACTGCTTGTCTTCGAACATATCGGAAAGCCCGACTTGTTGTCTCAATTTCTCGGTGCGACGACCAAACGCCTTTGACAGCCCGGCTCTGACATCCGACTCTTTCCTCTTGCGGCCGACTACTTGGCCAACCAAGTCTGCTCGTTTCTTCATTTCGTTGATACGGACCGATATGTTAGTGACCTCTTCTAGAGCATTTACCAGATATGGACGGTCCGGGTGGTCGCTCGGGGTCGAATCCAGAATCTCGCTTAGGAGTAAGGGGTACTTTAATATTCGTTGCACCGGCTTCACGAGCAGCGAGTCTAGGTCCCAAGCAGTGGTCAGATCTGAAGCCCATTCCCGACATTCTTTCAGCCAAATGGCTACTTTCGGGTTTCGTTGCAGTACTTGAAGCTTCTTGTTGGCGGCATCGTGGTTCTTCAGATAATCGGCGTACACTTTTTCCATGGGACCAATATGAGCCAGGAAAACCTGACCAATAAAGGTTACCCTGTCCTTCTCTGTATCGGAGACTTCACTTGCGCCACTCGTAGCCTCTGCGTCTGTCCTGGATGCGTTGCTGTGATTGTTGCGAGCGCTGCGTTTACTGCTCCATCGCTGAGATTTTGGCATAACATAAACGCTTCTTGCAGCCTCTTTGAGTGCATCCTGGAAAGTCATTGAAAACTGCACAATCTGATCTGAGTTACCGAACAGGATTTTGACATCTTCGGATGACAGATCCAAGCATGAACTTGAAGTCCCTTTGTAGATATCATCGACGACCTTCATGTCCCTTCCAAAAGTGTACTCAGTATCAACCAGTTCTTTTATGACATGCCTCCGTTTCTTTAGGCGTTTTTGCTCCGGGGATGGAGAGCATTTGCGTATATCTACTCGGATCTGGTCGGTAGAGGAAGGAACCAAGGACGTCGCTGATGAGTCAAGAGTGTGGGAAGAGGGCGTAGGTTGAAGCCTTCGAAGAGAGGAGTCTTCGCTGCTTCCAGCACTTTCAACTCGGCCCAAAGGTGCGAAAGTTAGCGACGGCGCGAAGCGAGAGGGTGTTTGTGTTGACTGGATACTCAGTGCAGCCTCTGGCTTTTGTTGCGACTGATTAATAGCCTCGTTGGCGACCGAATGAGTGACAGGATCAGAGCTGCGGAGCGGAGTCTGTTGAATCTCCCCTGATTTGAGCTCTTGCGGTGATTGGACTCTGATGGCGAGACCCAAAGTGTCTCGGCCCTGTTCGTGCCCAGTCCCATCCGTGGCTGATGTGTCCAATCGTGGAGTTGATATATTATCGCGTGCAGAAATACCATCGCTATTTTGCTCTTGAGAGGCCGTTCCATCAGTAGCGGCTGCTTGCATCCAATCTGCAATAGAAGGAGAAGCATGTTCCCAATCGTCTCGAAATATGAGACTTGCCGTATGCCCGATTCGTTCCGAAGGAGGGATACCATCCGCCTTGGATATCACAACCGGGTCATCAGTCAAGCTATCCGTTCTTCCATCAGTGCGTCTCTCGAGCCGAGGCTCAGGAGACGCGCGGACTGCAGGCATCGGAAGACTATGGCCTCTGCCACGAGCCAGCTCTTCAATATATAGCCTAGCTACCCTTTTAGAATCCCATCCACCAAGTCTTGCMAGGTTGGGAGCGCTAGGATGCATATAAGCGCTTCTTTCAGGGACGCGCTCGGTTTTTTGTTCGGTGACAGGTTCCCTATTGGCTGCGACGCACGCGGTGGGTTGATGACCAGTGACAGAGGGGGCATTACTTGACGAAGCGGAACAGGATTGGGTAGCCACTCCTCCGTCCTCTGCAACTTCTTGCAACTGGGAGAGGTCATCATCGCTGCCGTCGCAATGGTCGTCCGTGGACTGTTGGTTGTGAAGAGAAGATGACCAGGAACCTATACTCCATCTGTTCAGCATTGCATGACCAGATTGGTCCGAATGCACGAAAGCATCGGCGTGTACTTGACCGTCGCTAGAAGCCACCGATTCTTCAGAGCATGGGGCGTCACCAAGCAGTACTGGAACTGATACCCTATCCTCAGTATCAGAAAAACTGTAATCCGCTTCATCACAAGACGAGGTATCGGGACTTGATTCCCGGATCTGCATAATTTGACTCAGTAATGTGCGGTGAGAGGCATGAAGGCTCTGTCGACTTAAACTAGCTTGTGGCTCGGGGTCAAGGGCAGTGATATTAGTTTCGACCGACACTGGTGTTTCGGCGCAAGTAGACTGGCCTTCGGCGGCCCCCAGGGAAGAGATGCGGACCGCAGGCCCTCCAGCACCTATGTCCGGAAGACCCAACGTCGGGGAGTCCATTGGCATCAGATGGGCGTTGGGGACTTTTGCTGCAGTGTCGTGGATAGCGACATTGGTGTCAATCTGCAGCTGGGGTGGTCCCTGTGAATCCCCCTCACCCGATGTCAAACGTTCTTCCTCATGATCGGTCGCGGTTGAGTTCTCATTCACGGCAGGGTTATGGTCGGATGGCAGGGAATGGTCGATTCCGGTGTC